TGTAGGTGGTCTATCCTCTTGTTCCTTTGGTTTCTTTTACAAGTTCATCCCCCACCACATGACCACTGCATATTGAAACTCCAATAATATTTAGTCTGAGTCCCTGTTCTTGGTCCAAACACTAGACCAGGCTTCTAATCCCGTTTTCCTGCTTTAAAAGCCACTAAAACAGACAACAGAACTCAACTTTCTAGCTTAGTCCTATGTATTTTCAGCTGTCATGTGTCATTTGGAAGTCCAAGTCAACACAATCCAAATGGCCATCAGCAAACTTTACTCCTCTCCAATCAGATTCTCTACCTCATCTTAATTCATGAGTTACAAACCCAGAAAGTTAGAACTCATCCTTGATACTTTCCTTCAAAACTCTTGTAGCTCCTATTTCAGTTGCCAAGAATCTTTTGATTCAACCCTTAAGGGCCAAGTGGTTCCAGCCCGTACCTCAGTGTTTCACACTACACCCAATGAATAATCCAGCTAATCCCCAGTCCTTTTGAACTCTTCTTCCATAATGCCTCCCATGTGGCCTTTGTACAGAAAGCTTTTCATATCAACAGGCCCAAATAATTCATTCCCATTACCATGTCTTTCTGGGAAAAGTTAACATCTCTATTCCTGATTAAGTTGCTTCAGGGTGGAGGAAACAGAGTTAGCACTTCGTTCTTGGGGCAGTGGTGGGCACCTGGCAAGGGATCATTACTAGTCCAATGAAAACTTCTTAATGAAGCTCATTCCCCCTATTAATGTATTTATCTTTGATTCCCTTAATTGCACATTACTATATGCTCTTTATTATGATGTAGTTCTATTACCTTTGGAGCTGAAATTCAGGTTGGGAAGTCATCTGGAGCAGATGTATTCTACAAAGGTTTGTTTTCTGGTTCTGGTGAGGATTAAGGTGGAGTCTATTTGCCATTGGGTGTGAGTTGTTTTTATTTGGCCTCCTACTTAAAAAAGGCTTTTGGTCACCAGTATGGGGCTGGAATCCAGGTTGGCAAGTCATCTGGAACAGATGGATTCTACAGAGGGTTGTTTGTGAAACTGATGTGTCAAATGTGATAATGATTACCTATGGTGGACAGTGTTTGGTGGAGGTCCCCGATTAAAACAATCTTAGAAGCAGGAGTGGCATCCACTTCCGAAATACCTTGCCTCCAGAAACTCTATGAACTTGCAGAAACAATAAGTTATACAAGTGTTCAGGTTTTTCATTCATAGGATCACTATGAGTCACCGAGGACTCGAAAGAAATTAACACACACACACACACACACACACACACACACACACACACACCCTAGAGTGCCTGATATGGAATAGTGATCAGCATTTGAATAGGTTTATAGAGGGGAGGTTAAAAGTTCTTGCTTAGAAAAACTTAACATATAGATTTAAGTAAAAGACTGATCTTACTGTAAGAAAAACAGAAAAAAAAGCCCTTTTATTATGAGAGGCGGAACTTGCTGAGATGGGCCTTGTTTTTTGGGTCTTTCAAGTTTTCAGCTTCTGGCAAGGTGAAGTCTTACCATTTTTCTATCACTTGCTTTGGTGAAAAATATTTGAGTTTCCCAACAGGTTTTTAACTTACACAGGTCCTAGGTTTTGCAGGTTTTGTGGTTCTTGTTGTTCTGTACCGTAGACACAGAACCAACCCACAACATACCCTCTGGGGTTTTCAGAGGCAGTTAATCAACCATATGGGAAGAGACTGGCCATCCTTCTCCCATGGAGCAGCTGGTGCCCTTGAACTTTGTGCCTTTGGGATTGCAGCGCAGCTTCCCGCTTCTAGGCCACCAGAGCTCCAACAGAATTTATAAATTTCTGTATTTGTATTCACTCATTGCCATGGTGTTAGAGCTAATTCATAGGTGACTCTTCATTGGGTTTTCAAGGCTATAAATCCCATGGAGGAGACTGCCCACCTTTTTGCCAGACCTATTGGTGGATTGGAACCACCAGAGATGCCCACTTTGGTTTAGGAGTGCAACTCCATATAGACGTCACCCGAACTCCCATATTTAGATCAGAAAAGTGCAAATGCATACAATACTGGGTCAAAGAAAGCCAATATGAAGGAAAGGTGAGGGCTTTTTACTTGATCACAAATCAAGAGATGAAGTTGGTAAGGAATTGAATAGAAAGTCCCATTCTACTGTCAGCAGTCCTAACACGTTATAAAATGCCCCAAACCATGTCAGCAGCAGTCAGCACGTTATTCTTGGGATCCTTCGAGCTGACAGGAACCGGGCACAGAGAATTACTCTGTAAGCAAAATGGGAAAAACACATGGGTGTTCAGATTGCGGAAAGGAAATGACAAAGAGGCCCAGTTTTGGCCAGTTCTCTGCAAATAAAAAGTCTACTCAATTAAAACAAATAACTCTACAATGATAGTCCTATTTAAGAGTAATTCATGTTCAATATTATGGACTTCATGATAGTTTAAACGATTCAACAACAGGACAAATTTTCATTAAAATTTGCCTTAAAAATCAGTTTTTAAACTGTTATACAAAATACATCTCACTCTGCAAAAACTTAGGTTTTTATTATAAAACTCTTACCAACAATTAAAAGAGTGGTCCTGTGCAGATGAGATGTTATCTTGAGGCTTCACAATTTGTGGGTATCACAATTTGAGAAAGACCCAAGCTTGAGGGTGACCTTGCAGAAGAGTCTCCTGTTGGGAGCCCAGCACAGCTCAAGCATGGGTCTTCTCCTTTTAGTCCTATTAAATAATGTTTACAGAACTTCTTTGTGGTCTACGTTCCACTGCATCAAAGAAGCATTTACTGTGGTTTCTCTTCTCTGAACTTGTATTTGTCCTTAACGTATTAACTCTTGTTACAGAGATTCTTCTAGAAAGCAAGAACAGGTCTATGAAGGGAGAGACTATCACTCACACACTACTGTGTTTCCTTCTGTTCTTAGTCCATGATCCTCATTATTCATATTATGTGTGGATATACTGATCTAAAACTAGTGTTAGCTACAAGATTTAAGAACAATTTTACATCATCTTCTGATTTCAACATTTAAGGTCATTCGTTTTTAAAAAAAAATTTATCTTCCCATCTAGACACCTGAGTCTCTTTAGGATGGGGTCAATCTTTAATAAAGAGCTTTCAAACTATGCAAACAATTTCCTAATCCAATATTGGCCTTCCCCAGAAAATGTAAAGATCATCAACTAGAAATATTTGGCGAACAACCCCATAGAGAAATGTTGGACAACCAGTTATCTCACTTTTGTCCACACAACCCTATCATGCAGCCAGAGAGTAATTTTTTTAAAGTTGTCAATGGTTCCATTTTATTTAGATACTAATTCAACACCTGTGGAATCAGGAGTTAAAAAATCAAAATCTGCTGTCAAGGACTTTTCCAAAGTTCATTTTGCTTTGTACAATCATTTCTATGTTGTTATTGTTGTACAGAGAGTAATTTTAAGCTGGTAATTTAGTTAACCATATTCTCATTTCTACCTTAAGTCATTTGCAATAGATGGCATTTGGTACTATGATTAACTATCACAGGTGAGTAATTTGGGATATAAGGTTAACTCTGGCACTACTTTTTGCCAAAATGGAAAATGCTAATAACCCACCCGTTTGTCTCTTCTTTTTTATCCTAAGTATCTGAAGAAAGCTTGGGATTATTTGGATAGAAAATGTCAAGACTGAGTAGAAAAGTTCTCTTCAGGAATCAAATGCGCAATTTCTCAGAGGAGAGTCTGTCCCCCAGGGTACATTTGGCAGTACAGACATTTTTAGACTTCATGACTGAGAGAGGAAGTACCACAGATGAGAGGAAGAGGCTACAGATGTCACTTGTGTACCATGAGCTGGAACCGACCCACAACTGACCCTCCAGCAGTTTCAGAAGTTAATTGCACTATAGCTGGTGGATTCAAGCTGCATGCCTTTGGGATTGCAGTGTAGTTTCTTGCCACTAGTGCTCCCTATCCTATCCTCATTTGCAGGGTGTGTGTGGTGTGACGGTGGTGGGGAAGAGGCACTTTTTCTGTGCTACAATATCAGCAGTAAAGGTTTTAAGAAACCTTGATCTGAGCTAATGTTGGTTTAGGGGTTTTAAGGGAAAGAGATCGATGTGACTGTGCATACCTTCCGCCAAACACACCCTATTGATAGACAAAAGAATACTGAGAAGTTCTCTTGATAGTCTCCTATCACCATTTTTCCAGCCAACTAACTGATCGAGTAGATTTACATTCTGGGTCGCATGGATTACTTTTGGGTTAAATGCCTCCACAGTTAATGAACAGAATTTTACTCCCTTTCTTCAAATTTAATGAAAATTCCTCAAATCAATGAGGGTTCAAAAATTTCTAACAATGATTCAAGAAAGCAGAAATTAATGAATTCTCCTCTGCAGTAAACAGTTTCCTGAAAAGAACGACATTTCTAAAGAAAATTATGGCAAGATTACATGAGTACTACCATGTTTATTTACTTATACACTGACTTTTTTCAAAAATAATCTGAAGTAGCATTATACAAAAGTGAAAATACTTGTATACTCAAAAGTTTGGCTCCTCCTTAGCCATTTCAATATTAATATTAGATTTCGCATTGAGTTGCAATCTCTAACAGGCTAAAACTTCCGGGCTTACTTCAATTATGATCTTTCACAGCTACATGTTCTCAAGGTTTGGAGAGAATTGGAAGTTTGATCTGTCTTTGTTCCACGAAAGTCATAACCACACCACCTTTTCAAACAAATGGACTTTGTCTAGGATATAGTATTTAAGCAACAAGACTCTGCACTTCTCGTTATGTTACAAAATCCTCAGAAAGCTAACACTATCATGGTCACCCTGGTGCTGATAGGACAGGAAAGGAGGTATTAACACACAATGTATGGGTGATTCATGATTCACCTCCATCATAAGTAATGCATTAAGAAAACCCAAACCCCTCCGTATACAGAAATGAAATTATGCAATTATTTTTTTAAATAAGTTCCTCAATGTTTTATCGGTATATGATAGCAGCTTTTTTTTTTATTGGTTACAAAACCTAAGCCCATATACAAAAATTAGGAACACATTTAGATGCCTCTTTTGAAAGAACGTTTTAGTCTTTTTTTTTTTTAAACTGAGTTTAAAAAAAATAAAAACAATGCAATTTTTAAACACTGTCTTCAAAACTTAAAAGTGCAGCAATATACTTAGTTTTCTTTATCTATGAAATGGTGTAATTCCAATTCAAAACCCGGTAAGGTCACAATAAACTGAATCAAGCAAATGCACACAGAAGTCTGCACTACTTGATGCTAATGTTCATGTAAATGTTAGTTTGTACTTAGAACACAAAAGGAAATATGAATCATCACAGTAGAGGCCCAATTTTAATCTCAATGTGTGCAAAATTGAAAAGGTGGTAACTGTCAGAAATATGGAGAGTCCAGAAGAAACTAAACTAGAAGGGATACAATCCACAATATTGAGAAGATTTGGACTTTAAGGGTTTCACTGAAGTTTGTGACCTTAATTAGTGCTGACTTTGTTATTTCTACTGTTAGTGAATACCACACAGTTTCAAAATTTAGACTAGAAGGTCTGAATAGGATGCAGTTACCATATGAAGCTTTAACTCAAAATCTGGATAAAGAAAAAAAGGCACAATGAACTTCAACTCAATTTTATGTGCACAAGAGTTGAAAAATCTGAGCCACCTTAAAGAGAAATTGATTCTAAAATTTATAAAACCTATAAATAATCAGAGGCCAAACCACTATATTAAAACAGATTCTCTAGCAAGTAAAAATCTTGCAGTTTAAACATACGCTTGTATCTACTTTAGATACAAGACAAAACTCACTCTTTAAAGTGGCTCCACCTTGGCAGATACATATTTTTAATGAACCACACCTGCTATGTGTTGTTTATCAGTGAAAAAAACCCAACCGAATCAAAAAACCCCCAAGGCAACCGGCCCAATCTCAACAAAAGAAAAAAAACCCCCAATAGATAACTACATTTGTTTAGATTTTCTATCCCTTCACATCAATGCATTGGGAAATCCTACCCAGTGAACGCGAGCAACAAAACCATTTTTGTGACAACACAAAATTAATTCATTTAAAAATTTTCAAATCCTTGTTCTTTCATAAATAACTGGGTCAGACATTTTATGAAAAGCAATGACTTTACACAGTAATATCAGATATTGCAGAATTATTTAAAAATCACTGCAAATCAGGTTTATGTTAAACAACTGCAGATTATTCTTCTATGCAGATCCTTGTCTGAATGTTTAACTTAGTGAATATGCTTTTAGAATAGGATCTGAATGAAATATTTTCAATACTAAAAAAAAAAGTTTTATGACACTTCTAAATAGTTGCTGGTTTGTTGCCAACCACATTATCAAAAGCACTGGTTACTAAGTAAAAAAGTTTAAGACTAAATTACAGTAAACATGAAAGCTCCACAGTTTAAACCCAACATAAATCACCCATATCCAATTATCAATTTAAAACAAAAATATTTACTCCTGAAAGCTGAAAGCAAGATTTGTCTTTTTTTTACATTACCAATGGGTATTTTAGACCTTTTTCCTCTTTGAAGGTTAGGGACTCTTGCTTTCACCTTAAACAGAAGTTCAAGTCCATAACAGGTTGCAGCTTAGGTAAAATACCATGCACAGCATTTGATTACTTCAAAACAGCAGGAACACACAGGCTGAAGTGAGTGGTCAAATAGGGTTTGCTGTTCTCAAGAATTAGGTATAATGGCGAAAGCATTACCATCCATGTCTAAAGTTCTTCCTTCACCCCTGGCTTCTGAGGCAGATAATAAACACATCAATTACTGGTAGATGAAGTACAATTGTTTTTTTTTTTTAAACTTATCTGTTTAATCAATAACCAAGTTTTTTTTTTAAAGGTACTTATTTTGTCTGTCAGTTCCACCAATGAAAATCATTTGGCTTGTACTTTAAAATCTATTCTTTCACATAAAGAATATGAAAATATGTTTGTGGAGGACAATGATGGAGGCTCAGATCAGACTGCACCTCTTTATAGAGTCGTCCAGCATGTATGTGCCAAAGTGTCTTGATCCACAGTGCACCATTTTCCAAAGGTTATCAGTGGGCAGCTGACATGCCACCACTATGGAATATTCTGAACTGTAGACTGTAGTTCTCAGCATGTGGCACCGGGGAACGGGGGGGAATGGGGGGGGGATAGGGTAGTTGAGATTGTTAAGGAGAATTCTAAAACAGTTTAGGAAATCATGCATATGCATTTACAGTCCATGTGAGAGTGACTTTTGGCAACTGCAAAGTGACTGAGACATGGCTTGCTTTAGAAGCATCAAAACGAAGAGGCATGTGTGTTTTGGAGCCTTTGCTGTTGTTCTTGTCATTTGGTAGCCATCTGGTGGTGCTTCATATCAAACGTAGGAAAGACGCTGCACTCAAATGAACTTTAAAAATTAAATTCTTTTGTTTGAAGGTTGGCCGTTGGGTCAAAATTGTAAGTGCCTCCTTGTGTGGCTTCAGGAATGAGGCTAGGATCTTCATCAATCTATAAAAAGCAAAGGAAAAGAAAATGTTTACTATTATAATACTATACATTCTCACGTAAGCAGACTTTTTTTCTTCTAAGGAGAAAATTTTATGTGAAGCTTTAATCACATAAACATATTTAAATAAATCTGGAAATTAATTCTACTAAGAATTTTCACTTTAAAAATTGCATGCACACACCAACCCCCGAACATACAGTCCAAAACAGCCCCTTTCTTAAGTTTATGGAGTTAGAGATTTATTTAATCTATATGAACATCATTTCAAACATTACTATTTCTTCCTAGTTAATAGAATGCAATGCAATGAGAACTGTTTTTGTAGTTTCACCTTGAAGTAATGTTTCTAATAGGTCAGCCTACTGACTGGTAAAGAAACCAACATTAATTTTTTGTTGTTGTTGTTTAGATTTCTTAAATAACTGGGAAAATTCTACCCCAAGAGCTTATGATAGCATACAATGAAAGCTTGAGTCATACAAATAGTAAGAGGAAAATTCTTGGTAAATTTATATTACATAGGTTTTTTTTTTTAAAGTATTTGTAAACACACAATATTTTAATATATACTCACATCATCACCAGAGAAATACTGATCTATGATTTCAAATGCTAATTTATAAATGTCTTCATTTTCATGTTGTTGTAAAACCTCAATTTTTTCCAAACCTGATAAAAATAAAGCAATCATAGTCACTAAGGAGATATTAATTAAAACTCTCTTAATTTTCACTATGGCAAATTCTAAGGGATTTAAAGCAACTTGCCCCTCTCCATCCAGTAAAAAACAACAGCTGGCCTTAAAAATAAACTGAAAACCAGAAGCATGTTGCTGGTCAAAGACCAGCATCCAACTAACTTCTCCTTCCTTAGAAGCCCATAAGGTATTGTGACCTCTGAGATAGTGTTAAAAAAAAAAATCTAAAAACCCCAATTGGCAGATCTACTTGTAAGTTACATAGCAAGCTAGCAACAGAACAAGAACTGACATCAACCCATACTTCTTTTATGTAACCATACTATTATGTATACGTGTCATACAGTAATTATTACCTTTTTCTTGATTTTCTAAATGTTATTACTTTGTGTAACCACAAAAACAAGTTTTAAGAAACTGAATAATAGAGGGTAAGTTTTGAATTTTGAAAACATTTTTTTAAAAAAATGAGTAGGGCACTTACGTTGTTGTTATGTACAACTGAGACGGAATCAATTCATAGCTGACCCTCCAATGGGTTTTCAGAGTCTGTTAATAGCAGAGAGGAACCCCAATTTTTCAAAACAATATTAATAAAACAGGGAGTTCTGTAGTCTAGTGAAAAAAAGGTGCACCTCCATAACAGAGGGCTGCTGTTCAAATTCATCAGCTGCTCTGCAGCAGAAGGATGGGTAATTTCCACTCGTTTGATTTACTGTTTCTGAAAATCCACTGAAGGGTCAGCTATGGGTTGATTCTAACTCAATGGTACACAACAACAATCACAAAATGCTTCCACTTGTATTTTCAATATTTACACTCCAGACATCAGATGCCTACATCCGTAAATTTACATTTTAATCTAATAAGTATTATTCCTTCAAATATCCTTTTGAGTCTCAAAATTCAACTCATTTACTGATCCTGTTGGGTTTCTAAAGTTATTAAATCACTCTGGAGGAGAATGACCATCTTTTACCCATGGAGCACTGGTGGATTTGAACCTAAAACCTTAGATTTGAACAAATGTCTTGGAAATGGTGCTCCTTGGAGGTAAGGACAGTGGAAGTTGGTATCACATATTTCTGGTCATGTTAGGAGAGGCCAGTCCTTGGAAAAAGATACCACGACTTTAACAGTGGGCTCAAGTATGTAAGAGGTAGTTAAGATGGCATAGGATGGGGCAGGAGTCAGATCCATACTTCATAGGGTTTCTATGAGTTATAGCAGCCAACTCAATGGCACTTAACAATAATAGCTACAACTATTCACTGCCATTAAATCAGACCAATTCATAGTGGATCGTCTAGCAGGTTTTTGAGGTTTGTAGATCACACGAGATAGACCATCTTTCTCCCCGGAGGGGCTGATGGATCCAAACCACAAAGCAGTGTGGCCTCTGAGTTAGCAGTGTAACTCCCTAGAACTACACAGTCAGAACTCCTCAGCAAATCTTAGGAACTATTCTAAGTTACAGGGGTGAAACAACACTTAAGATTCAGAAATCAAGAGAGCCTTTCCTAACAATAGGGAACCACACGAGAAAGGCAAGTTTTACTGTTAAAGAATTTGGGAAATGCTGGATTAAACAAAGCTTACAGTTTTTCTACAGCAGAAGTTCCCAGAGTTCTTAATGTGCTCTCAGGTGTTATGTCTTCCAAAGGAGTAGTAATTTTTTCCCCCCTACTAGTTTATTTACAAGTTTCAAATACAAATTTGAACAAATTCTTTTAATTTCCCTTAAACACCCCCACCCCACCCCGCCATCAAATTGTACAACCCAGGAGTAGTTGTGTTTCATGGTTGGTTTGTTTTTTTTTTTAAATCAGTATGACTCACCAGAACTATTTTCTGCAAACAATGGACATTTTTTTGAAAACCCTACTGGAATGCCAAGTAAAGAGAATGAAGAACAGCAACATAATTTGCTGATTTAACAGTAACGTATTCTAAGCTTATATTTCTAATAAGTTGTCATTAAAGGAAATAATCCTTCAGAGTTCCACTGCTCAACTAGGTTGGGTTTTTTTGGAGGTGTTCAATCCATTCTTACCTCCACATTCTTCTATTATTTCAGCTATTGTGCTTGCTTCATCACCGGCCATTATTAGAATGTTTTTCAGACCATCTAGAACCACTTGAACCACTTGAGAATCTTTTACTGACAGTAAATTACAGAATGGTGGTATTACATTCTGCTGTACAAGGTACTCAACCTAGATAACAAAAGAGAAGAAGTACTTTTATGTATCTTTAACCCCCTCCCCCCAAAAACATGATTTAAAGAACAATCAACAGGTCTTAACCATGGTGTACCTTTCACGATCAACAATTAGAAGTTTTTCAAACTCACCTGATCTTTTCGGCCACTTATTGTTAAGTTGCTAATTGCCCAAGCAGCTTCTTTCTGTGTTCCAAAGTCCCCCTGGAGGTTGAGACAGAAGTCATCGAATGAATTTTTTACCCCATAGATCTTCATTATACTACATTAACAGACATGATGAACCCAATGTAACTGACCTTAGCAAGCTGATGAATAATCATAGGAATTAATCCAGCATCTATTACAGCTTGAACTTGCTGCTGGTTGCCTGCTGTTATGTTGGAAAGGAACCAAACGGCTTCCTATAATTGAACAAAATATAGGGCAACTTTATTTGGAGAATTATCACTTTAAAGAACATGACTCACAGTGACCCTAAGAATAGCAGACCTGACCACCACCACCAACAACACTGCTACCTGGTGATGCTGTAGAATATTTAAGGAAGAAAATAAAAATGGCTAAGATATTAGTGAGAGTCTTGGAAAGAAACAGATGGTACATTGACGTTTGATAATTTGAGCATAGTTTTTAAAAGAGACTGTTCACAAAATGTGTGGGCAAAGTTTAAGGGAACCACAAATGATGATATAGTACCTTATGGGTAATAAGAAATTGGGAGCCTGTCACAGACTGAATTGTGTCCCCCGAAAGTATATGCATATAACAATATAATGTAGAAACTATGTAATGACCCTCCATGATTTGTTAAGCCACTGTAAATTGATCAAGAGTGGAATGCAACACCCCTGATTCCCTTCCCAGCCCTAAATGATACAGAGGGAGGCTCCCTAGGGTATGATCAGTTAACTTTATCTCATGAGAGCTAAAAACTGAGGAAAGGAGGTGTCTTCAGTATCAACAAGAAAGAACTGTCAGAAGTGACGTTTATCTGGTTTGAATGGAGCCGCTGCTTAAGGAAGCCCCTTGATAAAGGGGAAGGCCAAGACACACAGAGATCTCCAGGAGTGCCAGGCCTACAGATGCAGACTTTCTTCCAGAACTGATAGGGAAAAAGAAAGCCTTCCCCCTAGAAACTGCACCTTGAATTTGGACTACTAACCTCTTAAACTGTTAGAGAATAGATTATCATTTGTTAAGACAGAATTTTTATCTGAAGGACAACAAAAAGAAGCAATCCCAGGAAAAAACTGTATGTATGGAAATAGGGGCTGCCTGACTAGAGCTGTGGCCTTCTGTGGATGGACACAGCCAATCTGCAATGTGTCAGCCTGGAGAACCAGGGATAAATGCCCTTAGATCTAAAAAAAGGGGAAAGAATAGACCTGAACCCTCCCTTCCCCATCCTCTTCATCTCTGACACACTTGAGTCCATTGTTGCCATCATTGTATAAATCCATCTCCTTGGGGGTCTTCCGCTCCTTCACTTCACTTCACTTCCTTCACTTCCTTCCTTCCTCCGTCTCTCCAAGCATGATGGCCCTCTCTTTCCAACGAACAGTCTCACCTAGCAACCTGTCCAAAGTATGAGAGACAAAGCTTCATTATCTTTCCGTCCAAGAGGCATCCTTGCTGCACTTCCTCTGAAACATTTAATTGGTATTTTGGTAGTTCATGGGATATTCAGTACGCTTTTCCAGCACCATAATTCAAAGGAAACAATTCTTCTTCTGTTATCCTTATTCACTGCCCAGCTTTTTGAAGCACAGCAGGTGACTGAAAAGATCACAGCCTGGATCAGGTGCACCTTAGTCTTCAAGCTGATACCTCTGCTCTTAACTATTCTGGAGAGATCCCTGACAGTGTACTTGCCCAATGCAGTATGTCTTCTGATTCCCTGACTGCTGGTACCAAGGGCGCTGACTGTTGGTTGAAGCAAGACGGAATTAATGACAGCTTCAATCCTTGCCATCTGTCATGATGTTGACTACTTGTCCTGAGGTGAGGACTTTTGTTTTCTTGATGTTGAGATGTAATCCATATTGAAGGCTATAGTCCTTGATCTTCTGCATCAAGTGTTTCATATTCTCTTCACTTTGAACAAGCAAGGTTGTGTCATCTGCATAATGCCGGCTGTAGGTAAGTCTTCCTTTTAGAATTACTTGCTCAGTATACAGATGGAAGAGGATACACCCCTGACACAGACTCTTCCTGATTGTAAACCATGCAGTGTTCCCTTGTTCCACTTGGACCACAGTTTGTTGATCTAGGTACTGATTTCTCATGCGCAAAATTAAGTGTTCTGGGATTCCCAGTCAGCTCAATGTTAGCCATAATTTGCTGTGATCTACATGTCAAATGCCTTTGCATAGTCAATAAAAAACAAATAGACATTCTTCTGGTATTCTTTGCTGTCAGCCAGGATCCATCTGACATCCGTAATGTATCCCTGGTGCCACAATCTCTTCTAAACCCAGTTTGAACTTCTGGTAGGTCTTTTGTCAATGAATTGTTCTGGTCGTTTTTGGATGATCTTCTAAAGTCAGGTAAAACTTTTCATTTTTATCATGGTAAAATAAGTTTTGCCAACTCAACATCTTTCACATAAACAATAATATTACATTCTTTGTGTTACACAACCATCATCACAATCTACTCTATAATTATTCCACCAAAATGAGCAGAAATCCAAGGCACCTATCAATAAAACACCATTTCCTTCTCTTGGCCACCTCCAGTAACTATAGCAACCAGTAAGAAATGTTGGTTTCTAGATCTTTGTGTATTATAAGTGGGATTGTCCTTTTGTCACTCAGCATATTTTTTTAAAAATAATAAAAACTTCTTCCTTTTATTTGAAAATGTGTTTTAATTAATTTTTTTGGAAAATAATCTTTTTTTAAAAGAATATTTTTATTTTATACTGGTTTAATTACAAAGTTCACTGTATATAGTGTTTTTCATACCAGATTTTTCCCATTTCCTTTATCCATGCCTCCCTCCACCCTAGCATGTTTTTTAAGATTCATTCAGTGGCTCAGCAATAGGCCATTGTACGTATATGGTGGTGCTCTGTTTATCCATTCATCTACAGATGGACATTTCAGTCACTTGTCCTCTTTGGCTACTGTGAATAGAGCTGCAAATGAACGCTGAATCAAGTATTTATCATATTTCAATTTTATAAGAGAAATATACATGGTAATAAAAACCTGTTCTCAGGGCACAAACTGCTCTAATCTTTGTTTCTCTAGAACAGGAAACACCAAATTACCTAAGTTTCAATCTTGCTTTCAATTAAGTTCAGGGAGTCTGAAGATAAATATGTTTAGGTATTCCATAAATGAAAGATCCCAAGTTTGTAATTACAACTTGAGCTGCAATTATTACACATAAGAGAATAGGGATTTAACAAACAGTACCAAAGTTGTCATGGGCTTTGTATTAACATTACAATCACAAAAACCTGATGACTAAAACAGATGTGATTTCTGTCAAATGTGTATCTTCTTCATCCACAACTAAAAGCATAATTGTAAGCCCTTTTAACAGCCTAGTGTAGTAGCACAACAGTAACTGTTCAAAGACTGAGCCAGAGTGCAGAAAGGCTAGGAAGGAAAGAGGTAGCAGATGACAAAGAACTCTCATCTCAAGGGGATTTATTCTCTATCCTAATGACATAAGAAGATCTTTATGGGAGTGATAACGACTTTTGCTTTTTTAAAGGATAGCAAAACAGTTATAGGAAATAGCTATGCTGAAATCCTGAAGGCATGCAGTTCGTATCTACCAGCTGCTCCTCAGGAGGATAGACAATTTCCTCCTGTTCAATTAACTGCCTCTTAACCCATTGGAGAGTCAGCTATGAGTAGGTTCTGACTAGATAGGACAACAACAAAGTAATCCGCTAGGGGAAACTTGCCAGAAAAATCAGATGATGTATACAGCTTACAAGTTCCCTCTCTGTTGGTGGAGTAGGAACTGACTCATAGCTTACTTTTCAAGGGTGGTAAAACACAGGTGAGATTATCCACATTTCTCCCTCTCAGTTGCTGGTGGATTAGAACTGCCTATCTTAAGGTTTTTCTTTTTTGTTGTGTACTGGTGAGTCAAAACCAAGTTATAGGTGACATTCAGTGGATTTTCAGAGGTTGTAAATCACACAGGAAGAGACTGCCCATCTTTCTCCTGTGGAGCAGATGGTAGTTTCGAACTACATGCTCTTGGTTTGGGAGTGTAAGTCTTTACCACTACACTGTGTTCATAGGGTTGCTATGAGTTATAATTGACTCGCTGGCAATTAACAACCACCACCACTTCCTTACCACTAGGCCACCAGAACTTCCTAGTCCCCACTCTATTTTCATCTTATTCTGTGTATAACTCATTTGTTCCTTCTTGCTCTTGAGAAAAAAGAAAAATTAGACAAGAACCTTCTATCTAAAAGCCAGAACCGTCTATCTGAAATTCTATCACTCTATATGTATGCAATATAGTGGGGGTTTTTAAAGATGAGCTAATTATCAAGTATATTTTATGAATTAATGATTATAAATCTCAAGCTTGAAACAATAAATACAATTTTTATGATCCTTTCATTTAGGTGTTCCATCTTTAGCTTCAATCTAATTTTGGAGGGATGTTAATTTATACTACCTCTATTTTGTTCATAAAAGATACCAGTCACCTTTAAGTAAGAGATATTTGTATGTCCTCTGTCCTAGTGGCTAAAATTTACTGAGTTTGGTATTACCTCACATATTTAATTTAAAAATACTGTTTTTCATTCAAAACAACTGCAGAGGTGATTGGAAGTATATTTTACCTGTAGAAAAACCACAGTGAATCAAGGAGCAATGGAAACAAGTCATACAAATAAAGAAAAATAAGAACCATGCCTTACCTTATTTATCTTCTCTTTCGGGTGTGATAAGAGATTCGGGAAGTGTGACAGGACATCACAGTTGAGAACAACTTGGGTCTGCTCGTCAGTGCCAGTCACTATGTTGCCAACTGCTCTGAGTGCTGCTGTCTGGGAGACCGAGCAAGGGAGATATAATTTGATTATAATTTATTTGTTGAAACTAGCAGTTACAACAATATGGTAAAAATGTAAAAATAGAACAATAAAATGGATTCAGTACTTTATATAATCTTGAGAGAATTCAATCATGTAATCAGGTGAGTAATACTTGAATTTTTTAAATTTTTTTTTAATTTGTTGTGTTCTATCAAATTGGATTCTACTGGCACAGGAAGAGATTGCCCCTCCTTCTCCAGTAGAGCATCTGTTGGATTTGAACCTCATGCCTTTGGGATTGCTGCGCAGCCTCTTGTCACGTAACACTTATTTTGACCTTACACAAAGTATTAAGCAGAACAGAATGGTTCTGAATTTTAGTTACATGTAAAAAACAGTTTATGGAAAAACTATGGAAGCAAAGGGAATAAACAAAAACCCCAAGAAATAAATGAAAACAGACGCTAAAAGGTCCATTTTAAATAGTTATTTTAATTCAAAACTCAGTTTTTTTAATCCATTAGTGTTTTTCTGCCTTTAGTATGTGGGCTGAAAAGAGCCCATTGCTATCAAGTCACTATGTTCTATTGTTCAGTGGGATCACACACAAGCCACAGGAGCTGGTTCCGGATGCCGTGTGTGACCCTCAGCACCCTACCATGTAATGATACAAGATGCTGAAGAAAAAACAATGTTTCCTACCCAACCCTTGAGGTCTAAAACTCTTCAAGAATAAAAAGAATTTAAAAAAAATATAGTGAGTAATCTCATACAGCACCTTCCTCATATGTGGTCATTAAACGAACGAATAAAGTGAGTCCTGATCCAGTTATTTTCAAGTTACATGTTCTTAAATTAACTTATTTTGAAGACTGTTTTGTAAAGAAATTGATTCAGTATAAAATACTTTGTGCAGTGAAACATTCATACAGGTTATATATTATTCTTTTCTTGGTGTTTTTTGTTTTGTTTTTTTCTTGTGTGTACTGTTGAATCAGATCCAACTGGCACAGGAGGAGATTACCCCTCCTTCTCCAGCAGAGCATCTGGTGGATTCAAACTGTGAACCTTAGGGATTGCAACACAGCTTCTTGCCACTAGGCCAAGAGATCTCCCTTTATGTATTATTCTTTTATCACAGGACAGTATCAAACTATAAAAGTAAGTGTTTTACTTTTCTTTTTATTAAGGACGAGGAACTACAGAAAGTTAGCCTCATTGACTTGTCAAGAATGATGTTCAAAAGAACTCCATAAGGTTTTGTCATTCCATAAAATACTTTAGCATTGAAAAAGGTACAATGAACAATGTTTGAATAAAGCCATTTTGTCCCCCCAAAGGGTATGTGTGTGCTCACTTAGGTGTGAGTACATGCTGGGTGCACAGTCACCTAACACTGTCCTCCATAATCCCAGTAAAAACAAAGACTGGTGAGGGGTTCGTTATGTGCAGCAAAGTAGTCTTGAAATTCAGAAAATGCAGTAGAAAGGACAGAACAGGAATCAGGAGCTGAAAAGAAATATTCAATAGAAATAATAGAAGAGTGGAGATAGATGATAGAAGATAGATGATAAAAATAAAGAATGCTGATAATTTCGGAAGTTGAATGAGGAGTACATGGCAGTTCATTATATTGTTGTTTCTACTTTTTAGGAATGTTTGAAAACTTCCAGCCAAGAAAGGAGTTTCAAGGATATGTTAAGTTACTATGCGTAATAAACTGAATTAACAATTCAATCAAGATCTATGGAGTACTAATTGTGTGACAAATGCTATTTTATGCACAAAGATAAAGAGGAAAATATACTTAAGATTCTCAAGAAACTCTGAATCCAATGAGTGTAGGCAGAAGACTAGCAGTTACAATAATATGGCAAACTATAAAAACAGCAAACAATTTTATATTAGGAAATTTAAAAACTGAAGTGTTATTTCTGAAAAATTCAAGTAACAGCACTTCCTTTTCTGAGAGGGGCTAACAGAAGTTTCTCACAGGAAATGCTGTTGAGTCCTGAAGGTTCGGTCCCATGCAAAGAGTGGGTGTCTATGTGTGTGCACATGGCATGAGGTAAGGTATCTGGGGCATAATTTTTGTAAGTATAACTTTCATGAGAGAGAGAGAGGCATTAAAGTCTGAGACCTAGGAAGTGACATATGACTAAAAATCTCTCATCGGAGACTGAGATATTGGAGACTAAACAAAAATATTTTAACAGAAACCATAACAGGCACATTTTTCCCCCCAAGAGAAAGAAACTGATGTTTATTAGATGTTCATAACAGACTATGAACGGGTCAGGACAGACTGACCCCATTCTTATCTTACAAAGGGGTTTATCTATCCTTTGTTTGGGGAGTGGGGTTTAAACAGCTATTAGTGCACTCCTACTAATGGACCTGGTGACTTTTGGCCATCTTCTTTGTCTCCTTTATCTTGTCTTTGAGTCTGTGTCTTGCCACATTCTTGGAGAGTCTGTTTATTGTCATATAGCCAGCATTCCTATTTCTAATGTTTCTATTGTTATATTGCCACAGTCTTTGTCAAAACCAGTTCTGATTGATCTCCTTTGTCAGCATGTCCTTTGCCATTCTCTGTCATTCTCCCCCCGCCCCGCCCCCAGATTTCACCATAATTCACTGGGTGTGTGTGTGTGTGTGTGTGTGTGTATGTGTGTGTGTGACATTCTCTTAGCTACTTCCTGCTGGAAAAGGGCATTACAGGTTCTAGGGTGAAGATCTTCTCTCACTATTCTAAAGGGCCCCTTAGGGAAAAGGAATCATGTAGACTATTGCGGCAAATGATTCTGGAATTTAGATGCACTGCTATCAATTGTGCTTAGGAATACAGGTTCATATCCTTGGAGGTGTATCATTTTAAATAGGCACAATTTAAGAAGCATAATTTGGCAGAAGAAGGATAAACTGCTATGTGAGGCTCCACCACCTACACTTAATTCAAGAGGGAAAGACAATGGAAAAAGAGGAAGTGTGATTAGGAGGCTATTAAAATTATCAGCAAAAAAGAAATAAGAGCCTTGAACAAAATCAGTGAGTGGCTCTTAAGAAATGAGGTGTCTAGCCTGGATCATGCTGTCCTTTGAAAGGGGATACAGGAAAGGGAGGTTATTTTTGGGTGATAGTAACAGTTCATTTTTTGTCTGGGTGAGATGACAATGGAATGCTTGAAGAGTTCTGAAATGATGTATCTAAGAGGTCAAAAACAAGTGATCATAAGTTTCTGAAAGGTGGTCAACAATTTGGGTTAGAGAAAGATGTGCTATCAATAAAATTAGGTTTGGTACAACTGAAGAAATAGGGAAAGGGCGTGCTTAGAAAAACAACTGATTAGAACAAACACAACTCTATAGAAGAGGGAAACACTGAAAAATACTTACTTGAACTTTTACCTCCTGGTGGCTCAGAAGGGGCACAAGAAATGGCACAACCCCTGAATCGATAACCATCTGTATCTGTTCGTTACCTCCATCTGTCAGGTAGGATAGAGCCCAAACAGTATCTACAAGAATCTACAGGGGTGAAAAAGAGCAAGTATATTATTTGTCTGAAAGTTTAAAATACCTAACAGGCCTTATGGGTGGTAAAAGAATTGTTTTATGTGTTAACCGAGTAGCAAAAACACCTGCTCCTTGATAAATGTGAATACTGCTCTCAATGCCTACCTTCAACACCTATTCACACACAAAAAGACATTTCTATGTCAAATTTCTAGGTAAAAACTTGTACCTGATCACACAGATTATATATGTATTCACTATACAAAGGAGGAAGTGAATAGTTCACATGGGTTGTGTGCTGTCAAGTTTATGTTAACTCATAGCGACCCTACAGCTGAGAAGCACTGTTCTGTCGTGTTTCCCAGGCTGTCATCTTAACAAGAGCATACTGCCATGTCTCTTTTCCAGCAGAGTGCCTGGCAGGTACAAATATCAAGCTTTCTTTTTTGCCAGTATAGGTCCTTACTAGGGGATGTCAATGCAATCATCTATCTATCTATCTATCTATCTATCTATCTATCTATCTATCTATCTATCTATCTATCTAACCATCCTAGAGATTTTCAGAGATTTAGCAATGTAATGAGCTTTTCAAACTTTAAAACAGATAAACATATGCTGTCAACGGAGGAACAGGGAGTACAAACCATGCCCTATGAACATCCTAATTTTGCAAATAAAAAACAGACTCAGAGGCCCAGTGACTCAATCAAGGTCAAAGAGCTTGTTTGAGGCTTTCCTTGGTGTTTTCATAAAGATATGAAGCAATGACCTTATCTTATGTGAAATCTAGAGATATTATTAAAATGAGTGATATGCAGATCTAAGAAAAGCAAATAAAACCACATATAGCCCACATTTTCAGCATTACTAAGAATCAGAGAACATTACAAATTTTAAATAATGGGTAAGAGGGGGAAAAAATTCATTTTGTCTGGGTTTCCTGCCCCAAGCCTTCAGTACCTGAAGAGGCTATATGGAGAATAGTAGAAGGGAATAAAGGGTTAAACGTAACATATTCTAATAAAACTAATAATACTCTTCAAAGTTATAGTTCTCTGAAATGTTTTGCAAAACAATCAAGTTATAAGAGTGAAAGTTAGGCTGGCCTTGGACTTTTCAAAACAACATATTGTTAAAAAAGCATTCTGAAGAGACCTGAGGAAAGGACATATAAATTAAAGATTTATGTAAGAACTAAGAAAATACAAACTTTTCTTAAGGAATCTCCTAGAGCAGGGATTAGGAAATTACAGCCTGTGGGCTAAACCTCGCCTTGCTTGTTTTGTAAATAGAATACTATTACATACAGTCACAGCCATGAATTTACATTTGTCAAAGGCTGCTTTCATGCTGCAAGGCAGAGATGCACAGCTTTCATGCTGCAACAGAAAGCACATGGTATGCAAAACTAAACTAAACCCAAACTCACTGCCTTCATTCAAGTCAATTCTGACTCATACTGAGCCAGTGAAGAGCTACTCTATAGAATTTTTACAAGGCTGTAAATCCTTATGGAAACAGACTGCCTCATCTTTTCTCCTTCAGAGTAGCTGATGGATTCAAACTGCTGACCTTTTTGTTGAGCAGCCCAACAATTAATTCATTTATGCTTCCAGGGCTCCTTATGGCTTGCAAAGTCTAAAATACTTAACACCTAGCTCTTTAAAGGAGTCCTTAGGTGCTGCAAGTGTTCAACTATTAACCAAAAGGCCACTAGTTCTAATCAATCTATCACCACAAGGTGGCTCAGAAGACAGGCCCGGTTACCCAGAGGTCAATACTGAGTATCTGATGGAGCAGCTCTGCTCTGTACATGGGTTACCAGGTGTCACAAAGGGTCATCTGACAGAAACTAACAAGTACTGTATAGAAAAAACCTGCCAACATCTGTACTAGAAGGTAAGCTTCCTCTAAGTAAGAAATGACCCAGGAAATTTTAGTGAAAAACTCATGCTAAGCATTTACTACAGCTCACCGTGGATTGAAAAGCAACATAAATGTGAGCAGAATACAAACCTGTAAGGTGTGCTACTGCTCTAATCCAAAGGGAGTTGTGCTCCTAATCCAAGACTATACTTCTCTGGCAATTTGAAGCCACCAGTAGTCCCAGGGGAGTTAAACTAGCAGTATTTTCTGTATGATTTATAGCCTCAGAAACTCTCTGGAGGGACTAGAGACTTTCTAAGGCTCTATGTTCCATGAGTTTGTTCCAACTTGACAGCAAATAATGAATGAGTGAGTGAAATGCGTTATACTCTAGAAAACTAGAACCGTTTGCCTCCTACACAGGCTGGTGGCACCAAGTTTTAAAAATGAGTCGTACAATACACAAAATATCCAGCAAAAAATGGAAAAGAAGTTGTCATATCAAGAAATAGGAAAATTTCAATTCAAGAGTTGATAATGTATAGGTACCAATATTGAGATGACACAAATATTATATATGCAAGTAATGTTTTAAGGATTTGACAATGATTTTCAAGTGTTATCGAAATGTTCAACAAGCAATTATGAACATTCTTGAAATATTTAAAAAGATTTAAAAACTCAGTAACTAAAATGGGACAGGAGGCGGCCATGTTCTTCCTACTTGGCTCCTCCCAGTGTCTCAGGAACTTCTCCTTGCCAGAAGGAGCATGGTGGTATGAGCGCAGTAATCATGGTAAGCTTTTGGAGTCGAGTGCTTTCCTGGGCATGTGTTTGATGTGCAGGTTTGCTCTGTCCCCGGGAGCGAGGCAAGCTAGGCTTGGCCTAGGGTTTGAGCCAAGGAGGAGGCCTTAAGCCCAAAGGTTCAAACTGTTTTCGTGTCAAACATTCTTCTAGGTGGTATAGCACTGGTCTGTGCGTTGCTGTACAGAGGTAACTCATGGTTGCTGTGATGCTGAAAACTGTGACAGTGATGTGCCAATCGTGGTTCCTGACTAAAACAAGCCTGGAAGCTGGAGTGGCATCCACTTCCGAAATGGCTTGCCTCCGGAAACTATGTACGAAGAACAGTGCTCAGGCTGTTCGTTCTCGTTCATAGGGTCGCTATGAGTCGTCTACGATTCGATGGCACTAAACAACAACAACAACAACAACAACTAAAATGAAAAATTCACTAGAAGAATCCAATATCAAAAAGAAAGGAAAAAAATTCAGGAACTCAAAGACAATTCAATACAAATCACCCAATCAAAAAACAAACAAACAAACAAACCCCCCCCCCAAAACAAAACAAATCACCCAATCCCAGTAAGAGAATAGGGAGGAAAAGGGGTAGAGGGATAGGACTGAAAAGAAATGAACAGAGCTTTTAGACTTACAGAACAGTAACGAAAGACCTACTATTTGTGTCATCAGAGTCTCAGAAAGGGAAATGGAGTTGAAAAATATTTGACAAAATAATGGCATAAAGTTTCCTCAATTTGGAAAAGACATAGCTCTAGAGATTTAAAATTGCGAAGAGTGGAGGGAAAAAAATAGAAAAAGAAAAGGAAACAGAAAAAGCTCATTAATCACTGCATATGTAAAAGATAATAAAAAAATTATCAGACAATATAGTTAAAAAGGGTCTTACAAGAACTTAACAAACTATAAAAATGAGTATAACAGTTCTTTTTTTAAAATAAATTTTATTTTTTGTGTGTGTATCATTGAATCAGATCTGATTGGTACATGAAGAGATTGCCCCTCCTTCTCCAGCAGAGCATCTGGTGGATTCAAACCATGTACCTCTGGGATTGTAGTGCAGCTTCTTGCCACTAGGCCACCAGAGCTCCCTAATGATGTGTGTAATAGCTCTTTTGAGCATTTCTAAACAAAAAATTGAATTTGAAACTGGTCCTGGAGTCCCTCAATTACACTTACTTCAAGTGTCACCAATTCAAGTCTCAGAAAACAATCTGTGACACTGCTTACTTCACCTGAACCAGGGATAAGGAAGTATGTATTAAATCTTAGAGGACATTCAAAATTGTCCAGGCAAGTCAACTCATAAATGAACATCTTAAAAATGACAGGGAAATAAAATCATTCTCATTGTAAATTAACTTTAAGCAGCATAGTAAGTAGCAAATCAACACAGATCAACCTGAATTAGTCCAAATTTCACCTCTAGTTTTCAGGGTCAACATTTAGCTTTCTTTCTATTATCTCACAGGGATCCCTGGGTATACAATGTGTTATGCGTTGTAAAACGAAAGATTGGTGGTTCCAATCTACCAGCTCCTAAGATAAGCAGTCTCCTCCCATAATTATTAAATCCACAAAACCACTCCCCTTTCAGTCCCATTTGAGAGCAGAATCTGAAAATAAGAGCTTCCGCTTTACTTACGTTTATGTCTGTATGGTATATGAGGACACACAATGCTGGCAAAATCTAAAAAAAAAAGATAAAAAATAAGTAACACTAGATCTGATGAGTATGTCTTAGTAGAAGGCAACTGCTACCAAAAAATGCAGTAAGTAATGTTTGCAGGTCAAGAATGACAACATTAAATGTATTTACATCTCTTCAATTAGGAAAATTTTCATAAGATCATTCTAGTACAGGAAACACATATTGCAGATGTTCAATTAAAATATTCAGATCAATCTGCCAGAAATTAATGTACCATGAAAGAAAAACATTTGTTTTCTATAACTTTCTTTATGATATAAATACCAAGGGGAAAGAATGGAGATATAAGCAGTAATAGCACAGCTACTATTGGGGGGGGGGGGGGGGGGTTGGGGGAGGTGGGGGGGGGGGGGAGTGTTACTCTCAGAACTGTCACTATTTTATCAATTACCTGCATAAAGGAAAAACATGATTTTATTTAATGTTATTTTACTCATATTAAAGTTCTGATCTCAGATTTAGTCATGAAAATGAAAACCATTATGTGTAAAGTTTGTTTCTTGAAATCTGTTGTTTTTCTTTTTTTTTAAAAAACTAAGATTTTAATGAAAGTTTATAAAGAACTTGGGTTCCCAATCCTTCATTTTTGTATTTTTCTCCCTGCCCACCCCACTGCTTTTTTCTTTGGGAAAAAAGTTCTTCCACTTTTATACAGTCCCCCAACTACTTTACTATGCAGCTTTTATTCTGGACTCTTGTCATGCCAACAATACCTAATCATGTATTTCTTTTATACAGCTCTCTCGTCTATTTCAATGCTGTGTAGATTATTTATCCCCTCTTTTCTCCGTTTTCCCCCAGCCCCCATGTCAGTCCTGTTTTAAGAGTGACATTATGCCAATTTGTCTTTTTGTGACTGAGATATTTCACTCAGTATAAAGTCCTCCAGGGTCACCCATTTTGTATAATAATCATTCATGAATTCCTTGTTTTTCAATACAGCATATTATTCCATTCTGTGAACGTACCACAGCTTCGCTATCCATTCGTTTGTTGATGGGCACTTGGGCTGTTTCCAACTCTTTGCTATTGTGAACAAAGCCGCAATAAATATGGGCGTGCATATATCTGCTTAGGTGGCGGTTATGGTGTCTTTTAGGTTATATTCCCAGTAGTGGAACTGCTGGGTCAAATAGTATTTCTATTTCCATCTTTGGAGAAAGCGCCATACTGCCTTCCATAGTGGTTGCACCAATTTACACTCCTATCAACAGTGAATAATGGTTCCAGTTTCTCAGCAACCTTGGCAGCATTTGTTGTTTGCTGTTCTGTTAAATTCTGCTATTCTTTCTGGGGTGAGATATCATTTCATAGTTGTTTTTATTTGCATCTCTCTTAGAGCTAGGGATTTTGAACATTTCTTCATGTGCTTGTTCGCCATGTGAATGTCTTCTTTGGTGACATGTCTGTTCATATATCCTGTACCCATTTTTCAATTGGGTTGTTTACCTTTATCGGTTGTGCTGGAATCTGTTGCTGGGTGCCACTGAGTCAAGTACATCTCACAGCAATCCGATGGAAAACAATCTGAACTGTGTACTATCCTGTGCCTTCTTCACCAGCTTTAATGCACTGGAGTCCTTGGCTGTAGTCACTGTGTCAACCCATTTCATCCAGGGGCTTACTCTCTTCACTGACACTTCACCTTTTCGAGCATGAAGTCCCTTTCCAAGTTAACAGTCTCTCCTAGCGACATAACCCAAGTATACAAGACAAAACTTTGGTCATTCTTGCCTCTAAGGAGCATTGTGATTATACTTTTTCTAGGACTTATCTGTTTGTTCTTTGGCAGTCCATAAGATTTTCAGCACTCTTCTCTTAATACCATAGTTCAAGGGTATCAATTCTTCTTCTGTCATCCTTAGTCACTGTTCAGTTTCCAGATGCACAACAAGTTGTCGAAAAGAGTCTGACCTGAATCAGGTGCACCTTGGTCCTCAAACTGACATCACTGCTTCTCATTAATTTGGAGAAGTCCTTAATTGAAGATTTACCCACTGCAATACATCTCCTAATCTCCTGATTGCTTGTTCCAAGGGTGTTGATTGTGGATCCAAAGGAAAAAATTGTTGAATTAATTTGAAGACATTTTTTTCTTCATCTACCATGATGTTGCTTATTGGCCCAGTGGTAAGGATTTTTGTATTCTTGTTATTGAGATTCAATCTATATTCAAGTCTTTCATCTTCTGCAGCAAGAATTTAAAATTCTCCTCACTTTAAGCAAGGAAGGTTGTGACATGTGCATAATGCTGGTTGTTGATCAGTCTACCTCTGATTCCGGAACGATTTGCTCGGTGTATAGACTGAATAGGTGTGGAGAAAGAATACAGCTGTGACATACACCTTTCCTGATTTTAAGCCATGTATTGTTCTGTTGCTGTCTGGACAATAGCTTCTTGGTCTAGGCACAGGTTTCGTATAAGCACATGTGGTCTGGGATTAAGAATGAGTTTTTAGTATTCTTTTCTTTCCTATTTCTTTTGATACACACAATCAAATACCTTTCCATAGTTAATAAAACACAAATAGATCTGTTTTCAATTTTAAAAAAACACCTGGATGCACACCCATGTTTATCGTGGCTTTGTTCACAATAGCATAGAGCTGGAAACAGCCCAAGTGCCCATTAACAAACGAATGGATAGAGAAGCTGTGGTATATTCACACAATGAAATATTGTGCAGCACTGAAAAACAAGGAATTAATGAAATAGTATATCTCAGTCTATATGCCACTCTTATAGAACACGACTGACATGGGGGTTGGGAGGAAACAAAGAAAAGAGAGGATAAGTAATGTACACGGCATTGAAACAGAAGAGGGAACATATAAATAGGTATTATTGGCATGACAAGAGTCCAGAATAAGAGCTGCAGAGGAAAAGTGACTGGGTGGGGGGTTTAGCAGGACTCTATAGCAATGAAAGAACTTTTTATCCAAAGAAAAAAGCAAACTTGGAAGGAGGGGGGACAGGGAGGAAAATGTGTAACAATGAATGAATGGAAATAAAAAAAAATGTTCAAACCTATTAATACCAAATATACATTTCCTCAAAACAACAACAAAAAAACCCCCAAACACCAAAAAACAAAAACAACAACAAAAAAAACTAACCAAAAAAACCAAACCCAACACCTGGAAGAAGGAAATGAGAATTAGGTGAGGATATGAATCCATTCTGTACTTTTCTATATTAAAAAAAAAGGTAGCAGAAGCTGCTGCTAATCATACTGATTACACAGACATCATTCTTACAGTGTCAAATGAATAAAAGTTATATAGGCTTTTGTAAACTTAAAATACACAAATGCATTTATAAATTAGATTTAAGAAAAGCTTTCATTTCTTTTCATTAGATTTAATACAAAGTACAGCAGTCCCCTCTGATCTGTTGAGAATCTATTCCAGTACTCTTCAGTGTATGCCTGAAAATCCACATCTCCAATATTTTTTCCTATACACACATGACATGTAGTAAGGATTTCAGGTAGGCAGCATTAATGCTATTAGATGCTGGGAGAGTACAGCCCAGCCCCTCATCCAATTGTATTTTTCCAGGCTTTTGTCCAGTAAAAGAGGAGGAAGCAGAAGCTGATTCTGGAATAGATCAACAGGATAGTGCCACATTTCATCCTGAATTCAGAACAGTGCATAATAGAAATATTTTTGGATGTGCTTCACCTATAGTAACTGACACCTTGGAAAGTAAAATCTTGGGTGAGGGGAAGGGAGATTACTGTATGTAAAGATTTTAAGAACATTAATTTTGTCAGACATCAAGGAAAATTTCAGAGACCTAATGCAAATTCACTTAAGAACATTTTCATAAAAGTATGCTGGTTTCATCCATAGAAGAACTGTATTTGGTAACTATAAAATCAATAATGCAGTTAAAAACCCCTTTTGAGGTATTTAAAATGTCCTCCTTTTGTATTTGTTTAAATTTTTGTTTTCTTTTTTAAATAGTCATTAAAAATGAGGAATAAGAATTAGTATAGATTACTAATCTTTCAGGTAGTATATGATATTCAACTTTTATTTCCTAGGAGTCAAAATACGATACTCATAAATCATTTTATACCTGCAATGAAGTCAGTGTATTTATTATTCATTGCTTGTGCATGAAAATATACAGCATAAACAGGGAAAATATACCATCGGGCCTTACAATCCTTCATTTACCTCCTGAACTGTTTCCATAGGCGGTGGGGGGTCCTTATTCCTGCAGAGATTGACAATGACCCATGTGACGTTCCGAAGGAAGGTGATGGGAATGGAGGGATTGATGAAGGACAGAAGAGGTTTGACAACTCCCAGTGATATGACATAATCTCTACATTGAGGACCATCACCTACAGAAATGAAAATTGTATTTAAAAAAAAAATTACATTCAAGATGAGAAAGTCTGAAATGTATGCAATGGCTCATGTTGGGACACTGATGTTCTATGTTTCCTCACCATTAGTCAAGGTCATCAAGTGTGGCTGTTTCACCACATTTTCATTGGGGGACATAAAATTTAACCTACCAGTCTTGATAGCAAATCACAATTAACCTTTTCAAAGAGTTATCATCTTAAGTTAGTACTTTAAAGGCATAAAGATAGTCAAACCACAGTAAATTTAGAGGAAACATAGTGAGTAATGGCTATGCCAATGTAGGAAAAAAGTTAGGATTTTTAATTGATGTCTTTTCAAACCTAAATGCAACTTACCTATTATGTTTCCCAAAGCCCATACTGCCTGTTCACAAACATTCTGATGCGGTGAATGGAGAAGTCTCAGAAAAAGAGGTACTGCATCTGTAAGAGAAAAAAATATTTATACTTAGAAATATTCGCATTCTACTGTAGATAACTCTGGGAAGAACAGGAATCCCAGAAAACTGGATTGTGCTTAAATGAAACCTGTACTTCGACCAGGAGGAAGTCGTCAGAACGGAGCAGGGAAACACTGGATGGTTCAAAATCGGGAAGGGTGTATGCTAGGGATGTGTCCTATCTCCATACCTTTTGAACCTATATGCAGGAGGCTGGGCTCTATGAGGAGGAATGTGCCATCATGATTGGAGGAAGATTCACCAACAATCTGCTTTATGCAGAGGACACAAACTTGCTTGCTGAAACTGAGGAGGACCTGAAGCGCTTGCTGCAGAAGGTCAAGGACTGTAGTCTTCAATATGGATTGAAGCTCAACATTAAGGGGGAAAAAAAGGGAGCTCTGGTGGCCTCATGGCAAGAAGCTACACTGCAATCCCAGAGGTAAACGGTTTGAATCCAGCAGATGCTGTGCTGGAGAAGGAGGGGCAATCTCCTCCTCCTGTACTAGTCAGATCTGATTTGACAGCACACACACAAAAAATTAAAAAAAAAAAAAAAAGATTGTCACCACTGTGCTGTTGGACAGTATCATGATAGAAGAGATTGAGACTGTTAATAATTTTAGCTTGCTTGTCCACAATCAATACTCTTAGTGCCAGGAAATCAAAAGATGAATTGCACTGGTAAAGTGCTGTCGGGATCTCTCCAAAGTACTGAAAGAACAATAATGTCAGTCTGGAGACTAAGGTGTGTCTAATTCAGGCCATAGTCTTGACAATTACTTGTGTCAGAGAGCTGGACAATGACTAAGGATAAGACGAGAATTGATGCCTTTGAGCTGTGGTATGGAGAAGAGTACAACATGTACATGTTTCTTTATGTTGGATATAATCTATACATATGGCTTTAGTTTTTAATCTTTATTAGTAATCATTTCAAATCTCATTTACTTTCAACAAGCAAAGCTGTGTTATCCACGCACTGTAGACCAATGTAACTTTGAATGAACATTTTCTCTTAGGCAGAACTAGAACGAGTGGGTCACAGGAACACTCTGGTGGGGTCAGATACCTTCCAACTCCTTGTAAAATAGAATGTAACACAGTCTTATCCTGCACCATCTCCACAGTCACTTCTGTGCTTGAATCCACTGTTGTAGCCACTGAACTGATCCACTTCATTGAAGGTCTTCCTCTTTTTTTGCTATCCCTCTAATTTTAACAATCATGACATCCTTTTCCAGAGACTGGTACCTCTTATTAACATTATCAATGTTGATGATGTGGACTCCTGCCATTCTTGCCTCTGAAGTATAAACTGGTTGTATTTCTTTCAAGGAAAATGTACTCATTCTTCTGGCAGTACATGGAATATTTAACACTATTCACCAAACTCATAATCTAGGGTGTTCTTTAGTCACTGTCCAGCTTTCCTACGGCTTCAGTTAGGCACACTTCTAATTGACAGCTGTGCTTTATAACACTTTAAGATCAATTAAATCACTGACAATCTCAATCTCTCATCCATTCATCATGATGTTGCTTACTGTTCTAGTTGAGAGGATTTTTGTTTTCTTGATATTGACACATACTGAACGCTATACTGAAGCAATAAGTGCTTCAAGTCGTCTTCAATTTTAGCAAATAAGGCTGTGCCATTTGCATAAGGCAGGCTGTTGACGAGTTTTATTACAATCCTGATGCCACTTTCTTCTTCATATAGTTCAATTTTCCTGAATTATTGGCTGAGCATAGAGACTGATTATGCATAAAAGTCTGAAGCACACCTTTCCTAATTTTAAATCAAATAGTACCCCCTTGTTACATTCAAATGATTGCCTCTTGGTCTTTCTATATGAACGTAATTAAATGATGAAAATCCTGTATTTATTTATTCTTTTGAGAAATATTTTACAAAGTGGCTGAACATTTTACACATCTTACTAGCAATGAGTGAGGGTTCCAAATGACTCTGATTTTTAAATTTGACCAATTTTATCACTTTTGGAAAAGACCAATATAATTTACTACAAATAGAAGAGAAGAAAAAAACCAAAATGAAAACAAAGCACAGATATTGTACATCTACTTGTATGTACTAAAAGCCTTAATATAAGAAGCATAGACGTTTTGCTATAACATGTAACTGTAAACTGTTTCTTTGCTACTACTGAAAAATCTGAAAGAGAACAAAAAAAGAATAGATGCCTTACTACATGATTCAATGTATCTTACTGTTACACCATGTATTACTTAAAAATCATCTTGAGTACCATCCAAAGTCAACTATGTGTCCCCAGACATTAGAGATAATGTGGTTGGGGAGGATAAGGTGAAATGACACACATCTAAATGACATCTAGTCTTTTCAAAGAGTTTTTGTCAGTTTGGGCAAACACATCAATAAAGAGTCCAAATTTGAGGTAAGAAATATTTTTTAAGAAATATTTTAAAAATATGTATAAGCTAAAAGACATAAAGCCACTTAGCACCTTAAAGATATTCAAAATAAATCTTAAGCTTTGTTATCAGCAAATGGTCTCAACCCAAGACGTTAAATCTATTCACTCTCCCCCCCTTCCCTATTCACTTTTTAGTAACAACAGTTAATAATATAGTCTATAGGGAGTTGTGGGCTAACCCAAAGGCCACTCCTCCTCTCTGATGGTTTGAATCCACTAATGGCTTCTCAGCAGAAAGATGGTCAATTTCCTTCTGTATAATGGCTTCTCAGCAGAAAGATGGTCAATTTCCTTCTGTAAATCTTCAGTCTCAGAAACTCAATGAAGGGTCAGCTATGAGTCAGTTCTGACTTGACCACTGAGGTTTTCTCCTTACTTAACCCTCCTTGCTTACTGAGTAGAAAAAAAATTTTTTTTTTAAAAAAGAAAAATGATGAGAAATGTATCACTCATTAAAAGTAACACCTTCATTTAAAAAATGGGGGGGGGGGGAATCCAGAGAAAGGGAATTAATTTACTTACTTGACTGTACAACAGCTTGAGTCTGGGCAGAAGTTCCCGAAGCTATGTTAGTTAGTGCCCAAGCAGCTTCGAATTGTAATGAAGGACTGAAAAAAGAATGAGGGAAAAAAAATTACCTCCTAAACTTATGAACCTCAAGCTCTATGCAGTTATTCTTTACTTTGTTCTTGATTTTCACTTGTTAATCCAACGCCTGTTGAATATCCCTATTGAAATGTTTTACTGGATCCCAAAGTCTTCAGTCCTTATAAATTTGCTTTTTCATTTCCATGAGTAGTTATAAGATTTAGCTGGACACACAGTTTTCGCCAACTCTTTTGTCTCTCTCCCACAAAACCCCAATCTAATTAAATAAGCCATTACCATTTTACTTCCTAAATATTTCCTACATGCTAATATCAATTCTAATAGCACTCTGCTACATTAAACCCTCACCCACTGACATGATCTACCAGCAATGCCTCTAAACTGACTTTATAGTCAAAACTCTATGCAACTCCGCTATACTACCAACTTTTCATACTAGAGATCTTATATCTGTGTTCAAAAGATGAAATTATTTTAATCTGGAACAGTAATGGAAGACTTCACAAAGGGAAAACCAATTTAACTCTCAAAAGATAAAATGAAAAAAGGAAATGATATCTGGAAGCAAAATTAAGGAATATAATGGGTAGAATATTTTGCAAATGAAAGATGATGAGTCAGTTTAAGGGTGCATGAGTGAAATGAATTACAAAGGCTTATGTTATTATGTTGTTGTTGTTGTGTACAATGGAGTTGGAACCAATGCTCGGGAGGAAACTGCCCATTCTTCTCTGGTAGAGCAGCTGGTGGGATTCAAACTGCATGCCTTTGGGATTACAATGCAGCTTCTTGCCACTTGCCTACCAGATTTCCTAAATCTGTTTGGTGGCTCATGTGTGAAGTGGTTGGATTCCAGAAGGTGGATTTTCTTGTTTTGGTTGAGGGTCAGGTGTAGCCTCTTTCACAATCAGGTATGAGCTGATCAGATTTGCCAGATTTAGCTAATAATAAGATGTGAGGTGGAAGCCTCTTGTTTAGAGTCAAATAGGACCTGGAAGTTAGGGCTTTGTATTTAAAAGTCAGTTGGGCCCTTGGGCCTGGTGTTAACTGTATTTGGGATGAACATTCTTCTAAGTCGTACAGCACTGGTTTGTCAAGTGCTGTACTTTGGTAACTTGGGGTTGCTGTGATGTAGAACACTGTGCCACTGGTGTGTCAAATACCATGATTACCCATGATGGACAGTGTTTGGTGGAGCTCTCAGATTGAGAAGGGCTTAGCAGCAGGAGTGGCATCCACTTCCTAAACAACATGACTCTGGAAACTATGAACTTTGATAAATGTCGACAGTTGTAGAGGAGCTTTAGGGCTTTTGTTCACAGGGCTGCTATGAGTCATGCGCAATTCGATGGCACTTAAAACAACAACGACGACAACGAGTAGAATGAGGGCATTCTAGTGGCCGAGGAGTAAGAAGTGATGCCAACACAAAGACCTGCCATTCAAATCCACCAGCTGTTCCACAGAAGAAACATAAGCATTCTCCTCCATGTGATTTACAGCCTCTGAAAACCTACTGAAGAGTAAGCTGTGAACTGGTTCTGACTCGATGGCACATAGCAGCAAGTGGTTTGGCAAAATAGTGAAATTAAATGAGAAAGGTGAAAAATTATAAAACCAAGGAAAGTCTTCTAAGGTGTCCTAAGAATCAAGAGAACGAAAAAGAAATTAAAAAAAAAAAGAAAAACACACACAAAAACCCCCAAGAATCAAGAGAACGACAGCCAGTATAGAAAAAAAGTACAATAAAGACATGATAAATTGACAGGTAAAAGCGGAATCTTATCTAAAGTATTTTATATATATTCTCTCCAATCCTCAGAAATAGCTAATTTTTATAAATGAAGTACCCGAGGCTCCGAGAGATTACCTTACTTATCCAAAGCCTTGTTCCATAAATCCTGGATTTAATCCAGGGATTACTCAGCTCCAGTTTCTGTTGCTTTAATTAATAATCATTCATTAAATTATATATATTTCAATATGCATCCTTTTTATATGTATGTTATGTTTTATAGACATACCATACAAAAACGTCTTTCAAATTCTAGAAAGTAAAGAAAAACATAAAGATGGACCAAGAACAAAAACCCCCTCAAAACTCATTGCCATCAACTTAGAACTGACTCATCTCAGAGTTATAATTGGGTTTCAAAGGCTGTAATTTGCACAGGAGGTGGTTGCCCATTTCTCTCCTGAGGAGCCACTGGTGGAATCAAACCTCAGAGAGGCATGAGCTTTGGGTTAACAATGTAATTCTCTACAGAATGGGCCATCAGAGTTCCCCAACAACAACAGAAAGGAAAGGAACACCAAAAGTAGAAATAGCAGAGAATTTCTCTTTCAGAACGTGGCATAAAACTTTACTTAACCCTTGTCACAGAAAACATATATGATACTATTAAAATGTATTAAGACTTTTGACAGAGAGCTGTGATGTAAAATGGATGCAGAGGAAGTCTTTAAAACACACTCCCCCCCCCCCTTAAATGGGATGGCACAGAGAATTATATGTTGTACTGCTAATCAAAAGATCAGTAGTTTTAATACACTAGCTGCTATATGAGAAAAAAAATGGGCTCCCATTAAGATTTATAGACTCAGAAACTCAATGGAGGATTACTAAGAGTAAGAATCAACTCCATGTTAATAGATACTCTTACCTAAGATTTCTGGTGGTATACAGGGCACTGTCTTACACTGCTACTCACAAAGTTGGTGGCTTCAAACAACTGCTCTATGGAAGAAAGAGTGGCAGACTCCTCTTATACCCTCAGAAATCTGATGGAGGACCACTATGAGCTGAATTGACTCCGTGGTGTGAGTTTGGCTTTGTGGTTTGATTCTCAGCTAGTCGAATGAAAATTCTTAAGAGTACTTGGTGAAATCATTCAGGTGTAAAATATATGGTAGTTAACTTTAAAATTCAAATTTATAAAGGAGGGGCAATCTCCTGTACCACTCAGATCTGATTTGACGATACACAAAAAAAATAATAAAAAAATTAAAATTTATATTCTCCTAAGTTAATTCAAATGATGAAATTTAAGATATAGCACTATAGTGCAACAATGAATGAATGGAAACTAAAAATCTCTATAAATGCTCATTAAAATTAATAAAATTTAATAAAAAAAAAAGGGCTTTAGATCTCAGCAAAAGGGGGGGGGGGAAGATACAGCACTAACTGGAGAATAGACCAGAACTATGAAAGATAGCAAGTGCTGTTATCCAACCCCCCCCTCCCCCCGCCTCTTTCTGGGTAGATTTAAACCTAGTATCTTCTTTGTTTATTTTTTATTACCAAAAGTAAAATGTTAGCATAACTTACTAATTACAACTGAAGTTCTGTTAAAGACTATGTAGAGGTTCTGTAGATCAGCTGGAATATTCCCAGGGTAAGTAAGAGCCACTGAATTCTGGAAACCATTCATGTTGACTCAGTCATGAAGCTAATCTATATATAGCTCATAAGCAAAGAGTGACTCAAATACTATTTGTGTTATTTTAAAACATTACTAATGAAAGAAACAAGCAAAAAGTTATAAAATTCAGGATAATAAATAGGCATTAGAATTTTCCCAGAGAACATTTAGTTCATAAATTTAAAAAAGGGAGCCGTTTAGGCCTGCAGAGTAAAGAACGAGAAAAAGAACATAAAAATACATGACAAAGATGTAATAGACAATCAAACTGAAGCTACTGGTTAAATAGCAATATGAAATTTAAAGTTAACAGAAAAGAAGTGAGTGTATCAACAAACTCATACTTACTTATCATCCCTCTCTAGACATTTGACTAAAATTGGTAAGATTCCAGATTTTATTAAGTCATCTATTGGAGGATTTCTGTCACTGGATAATAGCTTTCTGGAAGTAGAGAGACAAGAAATAAATTGCTAGAATTTTCAAGCTCTGAACAGCAATAACAAAAGATTACTTCTAAACTATACCATATGACATAGTTCTGGTCAAATCACTATTTACCTTGCAGCCTGGACAGCACTCAACTGGACCAGTGGGTTGTCACTTGTGGCATTCTGTAAAATGAAATGTAAATTTCTGAAATTAAAAACAAACAACTTCAAATACTTTTTAAAATGAGAATATTAAATTATTACTTACATACCTGCAATATAGCTTCTAATGTTACATTTTGCTGAAAAAGAAAAGAAAAATACAGTTCAGCAAAAAGTTAAGTTTGGCAAAACTGTAATTCACTTGTCTACCTGACAAAATGAGAACGATTGTATCTTAATCATCACTGTAACACTGCTCTTACATTGTAAGTAAATTTATCCTAGTGATTATGAAAATTATTTTAAAAGCAATTTATAAGAACAAAGTAACTTACTGCTTTAAAATCAGCATCAACATCTGAATCCTCTAAACTTTCTTCTTGAGGAACATTTCTCTTTTTCAATAAGTGCTCATCTCTTTTGTTCTGAAAGGTAACCAATAGATGGTTAAGAAGTCCCGAAGACTGCTGTTAATAAAAAATCTATCAAAATTATTTTAGCTTTACTAGGCAATTATAAGACAAATACTGAGTATCTACTGCAAAGATAATGAGCATTCTGAAAACCACTGATATTCTAGCTTTGGTAAACAAAATCAACTCGTTTGATACATACTCATAAAAATTGTTAACAATGGAGTGGCCTAGTAGGTAGGGAACTACACTGCCAATTCAAAGGCAAGAGGTTACAATTCCCCAGCTGCTCCTGCCAAAAAAGATGGGCAATCTTCTCCCATGCAATTTGTAGCCTCTGAAAACCTGATGAAGGGTTTGGTACAAGAGGTCAACATGCAAGTGTCAGGAGAACTGATAAACAAATTGTAGACAATATATAGAATGGGTAAAAAAAAAAAAAAGATAACTGTTATCAAAATGAGAGAGGAGAGTAAAAATTGGTAACCAAAGTAATCACAAATACCCACATGTGTACATAGTTTAAAGTGTAGATATTTAAGTCTGTACAGAGTTAACATAGACAATGAACATAAAAGGTGTTATAGAGACTTCTCAGATATAATCAAGCAAGCACTCCACTTGAGCTTAAAGGAGAAGGGCCACAGACTCAGGGATGCCTAGATCAACGGCACAAGAGAGTTCATCAAGATGATGTTTTGCTTACTACTTTGACAAGTAGCATCTGAGGTCTTAAAAAGTTTGGCAGCAGCCATCTAAGCTACAACTACTGGTTTCTTCCCATCCTGAGAGTGAATAAAACCAAAGAATCAAGGGAGCTATTAATACAAAGGACTAATGAACCACGGTCTCCATGACCAGGACTAGATGGTGCGTGGCTGCCACTATTATTCTGATTGTGACTAGAATTATGACAAGAGGGCCCAGAGAGAACAAAGATGTAGAATAAAAATCAAATGAGACTAGCTAACTAGTCTCAGAGAGATAGGAGGAACCTCTGAGACTATGACCTTCTGAATGCTTTAAGGTGAAAATGACAGTCCTCTGAAGAAACCCAGAACTCTTGTCAGATTATCTTAGATAAAGAAGGGTTATTCTTTGTTACAAGTAGATCCAGCCCACTGTGTATAGGTGCCTTAAGAGATATCCATTGCCTGCAGGGTGCTTTCTATTCTCTATTACTACCTTTCAACTTTATTATACCTCATCTTAGGTGTTCTCTGTACATGCTATTTGGCAAGCAGAAAAGGTTATTTAACTGGTATTTCTGGGAAACATGAATTTGGGCATTCTTCCATGAAGATGTACACTCAATTATGCTTGGAAGAGATCTAACCCTATGGATAAAGGCCAATTTGAGGGTCTAGGCTAATAACTGGTGGGTGCTGTTCTAGTCACGAAATGCCCGTTGATCTTGATATTAGAACCATCTAGTCCATTCTATAACCTTATTGAATTCACAACAGTTTTAGGGAGTTGATTTTTTCCCTCCCTCCTCAGATTTCTTGGAATTTTCCATACAAACACAATTTTGTCAACTGCTAATTGGTAGTTTTACTTTTCCCCTTTTTAGTTTGTGTATCTTTTCTATCATTCTTTTTCCTTGTCTTACAGAACCAGTAAGAGATTCCAACAAAATGCATAAAAACAGAGAAAGCAGATACCAAAGGTCTCAGGGTGAAAACATTTTGCCTTTCACCAAGTGAAACACCAGTGTGCATTGCTGCAAACGAGGGCTATAGCCGTCCTGCACGTTTTAATTAATAAAAAAGGAATGTCATTCAATTTCTGAGCACAATCATCAATTTAAAAGTGTGTGGCAATGTGTTAACTATTAATATTAAAGGTAAGTTTGTAGATGCTCTTTGTCAAGTTGAGGCAATTCTCCTACAATTTCTAATGTGATGAATCTTTATCACGAATGGGTGGTGGATTATGCCAAGTACTTTTTTCCTCTATCAATTGATATGGCCATATCATTTTTCCCCCTCTTAACTTGTTGGTATGAAGAATTAAGGCTCTTTTTTAAAAGACATGTTACTAAAAAGTCAAACACAATAAAATTTTAGTACACTTACCTTTCGTAGTTCAACTGTCACTTCATTTCTGTGTCTTCGCATTGTCTAAAAAGAAATTAAAGACCATTTAAGTATCCAAATACTGGTATTTTCAGTGCATTAATTAAGTTCTTATGCATTTAAGACCAACTTTTCAAGAAGTATTTAAGGATTAAGAACTGATCAGGCTAAGATTTTAAATGAAGAAACTAAAGCCGAAATTTCTACTTTAGTGTATATTTGTTGTTTAATTTTGAGTTTTGCCACCACAGTTTCAATCCCCTCCCTTACTTATACCCAGGTTCCTCTGGTGAATGACATTTTGTCAACTGTGTATAGTTCTCAAGGAACAGGGCATGAGACTCAAACTATGACAATAAACTGTTCCCCACTATTCTAACATTCAAAAAGCATATTTAAACAAGATGGTGAACAATGTCTTTATCTTGGATTTGCTCTGCTATTTTATTACATATACAAATATGATTACATCCTTACATTTCTGGAATAAAAACTACAACATATTATAATAAGCAAACCTATAAGGCAGAGTAGAACTACCTTGCAGAGTTCCTAAGCTGAAATCTTTATGACAACAGATCACTAGGTCTTTTCACCAACAGCATAGCAATAGATTTAAGGAGCCAATTGTTTAGTTAGAGCTGAATTTAACCATGTGCCACCAGGACTTCTTATAAAGCTATGTGCCCATGGGATATTTTACTTTAAATATACTGCCAAATTTAATCCCTTTTCAGGGGGAAATAATTCTGCAGAAACGAAATTAACAAAATTTCTAAAAATGCTGAAATAATAACTGTATAAAAACTCATGATTCTATATAGGCACATGCTAAACAACACTGCCAAAGAAAAGGCACATTAGTAAAATCAAAGTGAGGAGTTGTTATTGTTGTTATGTTCTATCGAGTCGCTTGTGACTCACAGGGACCCTCTGTACAACAGCCCTAAACCCTGCTCTATCCTGTGCCAATCGCACTGCCTGACACACCCATCCTGATTACCCCAGTCACTGAATCAATCCACCTCATAGAGGGCCTTCCCATCCTGCGCTGCCTCCCACCCTCCCAAGCATGATGTCGCTCTCCAAGGACCTGTCCCTCCTTACAACATGTCCAAAGTATGTCAGACGAAGCCCCAGAATCCTTGCCTCCAAGGAGCAGGCTGGTTTAACCCTCTCTAGGATGACTCTGTTTGTTTTCTTGGCAGTCCATGGTATATTCAATACTCTTCTCCAGCACCACAGCTCAAAGGCATCAATTCTCCTTCTATCCTTCCTAGTCACTGTCCAACTCTCTGATGCATAACAAGTGATTGCAAAGATCATGACCTGTATCAGGCACACCTTAGTCTCCAGAGTGACACCACTGCTCTTCAGTACCCTGGAGAGGTCCCTAATAGCACACTTTTCCATCACAATACGTTTTTTGATTTCCTGGCTGCTGGTGCCAAGAGTGTTGACCATGGAGCTGAGCAAACTGAAGCTGTGAACACTCTCAATCTCTTCGCCATCCAACCTGATGCTACCAATTGGTCCAGTGGTGAGAATCTTTGTCTTCTTGACATTGAGCCTCAATCCATACTGAAGGCTGCAGTCCTTGACCCTCTGCAGCAAGTGCATAAGGTCCTCCTCAGTTTCAGCAAGCAGGGTTGTGTCATCTGCATAATGCAGATTGCTAAGAGATCTTCCACCAATCCTGATGCCACACTTCTTCTCATAGAGCCCAGTCTCCCAGATAATCTGTTCTGCATATAGGTTGAAAAGGTATGGAGATATGACACATCCCTGGCGTACACCTTCCCCAATTTTGAACCATGCAGTGTTGCCCTGCTCTGTTCTGATGACTGCCTCCTGGTCCAAGTATAAGTTTCGCATCAGAACGATCAAGTGTTCTGGGATTCCCATTGTTCTCAGAGTCAGCCACAGTTTGTTATGATCTACACAGTCAAATGCCTTTGCATAGTCAATGAAACACAGATAGACATTCTTCTGGTATTCCCCGTTTTCCGCTAAGATCCATCTAACATCAGCTACAATATCCCTAGTACCATGACCCCTTCTAAACTCAGCCTGGACTTCTGGCAGTTCTGATGTGCTGTTCTAGTCGTTTTTGGATAATCTTCAGTAGAATCTTGCTTGCATGTGAAATCAATGATATTGTTCTGTAGTTTCCACACTCTGTTAGGTCACCCTTGTTTGGAAGGAACAAATATAGATCTCTTCCAGTCAGTTGGCCAAGTGGTTGTTCTCCAGATTTCTTGGCACAACTTGGTGAGCACGTCCAGGGCAGCATCTATTAGCTGAAATACATCAATTGATATTACCATCTATTCTTGGGGCCTTGTTTTTTGCTATTTCCTTCAAAGCAGCTTGAACTTCTTCCTTCAACACCATAGACTCTTCCTCATATGTTATTCATTAAATTCTTCTGTGTCTGCCAATTCCTTTCGATACAGTGACTGAGTATATTCTTTCCATCTTCTTTTAATACTTCTTGGATCATTTAATATTCTTCCTAAAGCATCCCTAATTATGGCAACTCGAGGTTTGAATTTGTTCCTTGAGCTTAAGAAATACAATAATAAAACTATTTTCAGTGATATAGCTCAATAGCAGAAACTCTCAAATCTATTTCCTATTTCAATACTTTTAATACAGAGAATGCCTTATATATTACACAGTATATCACATACAATGGTAATAAGAATGTAATATAATATTAAACTACCAGTAATACAGAATTATCATTTGATAACTGTAAATGGTCTTTACTGATTTAAAGACTAGAAATGTAGTGCTATTAAAATTGCTAAGTGGATACATAAGCCAGTTGTTACTAAAGTGGAAAATATTTTCATTGTAATAGCTGTATTTAATTGTCTAATTGTTATAAGATGAATAGATTGTGGTTTCATAACCTGATGAGCATGATGCCACTGAACTGTATACATAAATATTGTTCAATTAGTCAATGTTCTATTGCATACATTTTTATCTCTAATGGGGGAGAGAGAGGAAAGGGTAATTCAGCACCCATGCAAGTTATTGTCTGCACTACTCCAGGACTCTCTAACTACTGAGGGTTCCCTACAGTTACCCCTAAAAATCATTTGAGTATAAATGGCCGAACTGGTTTAGGGTGGACAACAACAGGACTGTACTCTGTATGATACTATCACTTTTGTGTTAATCCCACGGTCAGTGAGTTGGTTCTGGCTCACAGTGATGCTCCATTGAGTTTCCAAGGCTGTAAATCACAATGCTCATCTTTCAAATGCAGTGGGTTCAAGCTTCTGATCCTTTCAGTTAACAGCACAACACAGAAAGTACTACACCAGAGTTCCTTATCTTTGCATTAGTCAACAGCTTTTTCTATTAGACTCATCCTCTGCATTCTAGCCCAGTGACATCATCTACTAGTATGTCTTCAATTACTGTTCAATGACCACTCCTAAATATATTTATCCAGTCCTTCTTATTTCAGCTTCAAGACTGTAAGTCCATTTATTGAGCAAAAATGTACTGAGTGCATTTAATTGATGAATTTAGTCTAGTACGGAGCTCAGCAAGCTATAATCTATGAACAAATAGGGTGGATTGTTTTTGATTTTTACATATTTAAATCTTACATCTTAAATGATAACCATTACTTACATAAAATTCTTGATTTTGCCTGCTTTCCCTCAAGTTTAAAAATACAGACTTTTTTGTGGGTTTTTTGTTTGTTTGTTTGTTTGTTTGTTTAAGAAAAAGCTGGCCAATTATACATGGTTTGGTGAAAAAAGCCATTAAGTAAGCAGTAATAAAATGTGTTAAGATAGGCAAGTAAGGGGGAGAAAGGATGATTCCCTTATGAAAAGGATGCAAAATTGCAAGACTGGAAAAAGGAGAAAAATAAGAGTGTTTCTGAGTGTGTAAGTGTTTAAGGGTGGGGGGCTAGACTGCTGCAATTCTGTAAGCTTATAAGTAATATCATATCTGTCCCCCCCATGGAAAAAACACCAGCTATTTTTCTATAAATAACCCCAGTATCAACAAATAGTACAATAATTCAAACAGCTAGAAAAGCATTAATCCTAGGAAATAACATCTATTCACTCTCTCACCCTCCAATCTCTAGCAATTATCAAAACTGAATTGATGAAACTTCTTAGCTTCACCACCACCACTATCTTAGGTCAAGTTACCATCTTACCTGGATTATTATAATAGTCTACTAAGTTTCCTTTCAAGGAACTGCGGTACTAAGCACCTGGCTGTTAACAGAAAAGTCACCCCAAGAGAAAAAACTGGTAGATTCAAGCCACTTTAAAAAAAATTAATTTTAATGAAAATTTACAGAGACTTAGGGTTTCCAGTCATTCATTGTTGCAGAGCCACTTTCTTTTGACCTGGCAATCCAACTCTTGACTAAGACACCAGAGTCAATGGAGTCTAGGAAACCCTACAGAGTTACTATGCATTGGGATCAACTCAATAGTACACAGTCAATAACATGTTGTTTCCTTACATCCATTTTAAGTAAGAAAAAAATTATAAGGGTCTTTTAAAATTAGAAACTAGTTTGCTCATTTTCTTGAACAAAACTTCTTAATGAATTATTTTACTTCATGGAATTCCTTATCCATAAAAGGACAGTCATCAGGATAGTCAAGGCAAAACCTTATCTACAAAACATACAAAGTATCCTCATAAACTCTCAAATACACTGACTACAAGATTCACACATTACCAGGTGCACCAGTGTTGCAAAAGAAATAGAAAGGCAGAAGCAATGAGGCTAATGAAGAACCTGAGGCCAGAACCCGCAAATCAGGGATGGAGAATTTAGAAAAGCAATATGAGAACAATTGCTCCCCAATAGTATATAACAAGCTGGACTCAAAAACAAGGAGCTCAAGTCCCTTTCTGGGACAAAGTCCTGAACTTCTAGGACTAGAACCCAAAGTGAACAAGTCAAATACAACAGAGGAAAAAGAAAAAAGATTCACATAAAAGGAGAAAAAAGAAACAGATCTCAGCAAACAGGTGACCACATACTTCTT